AATTGTGGAAAACTCCCTCAATTTTAGTGACCAGAACACAACTGAGTTTTCTAATACTGCTCGTGCAACACAAGGAAAAATGCCCAACAGGACACTGCAGAAGGAAACCATTTGGTAACCAGAGTTATTAAATTTTCTGAATATGACTCAGATAAAGAACAAAGTCAAAAAATATTATTTGTCTTCAGAAAAAAAAAAAAAGATAGGAAATTTTTCTATCTGGCTGCAAACCTTAACTGTTGATTTAAGATGAAAACAAAAATATTTACCTTATTTTCTTTAAAAAAAAATAAAAGTAATGTGCATTTACTACTATTTCATGTCTAAAGACATGAAAACTTGAGTTCTCCTTGGTAAATCCTAAGAGAGAAGTTGAAGATCAATGCGTTGGCTCATTGACAGGTGTCACATCCTATCAATATTTCTGCTGAATTCTGAGGTAAAAGAACTGCCTTTTCTTGTAGCCTCGTAACAAAGCAAAGGCAGCACTAAAGGAGAGCTCAACCCAAGAGTAGCCTTTCACTTCAGCACTAAAGCTGGTCCTCTAAAGCTGTGTATCCATATGAATACTACACATGCATTTTGAAAGTGTTACTGAGATGCTAAAAGGTTCTGAAGTTGAGCTACAGCTTTGCTAACCACACCATTTTAAAAGTGTTTGATTTAAAGCTCATCTTCCGCAAGTTTTGAACTCTGCAGTTCCTCGAAAACATGGTCATTGCAAACCACATCATACTTCGTCATGCAATACTTAAAAGAAAAAAACTGCTTAAAAAAGACCTCTCTTCACACCTTTGTAACTAGGAAAGTCTTCTGTTCAGCCTTTCTGACATCTGGCCAGCTCACGTTTATGGATTGATTACATGGGGCAAAAAAATCAGAGAATCCTGCCATTCCTTCATTCAAAGAAAGAGCTGCAAACCATTTCTGGTGGTTGCTGTACGGCCAAAAGAATTAAACCTTAGCACAATAGCTTATATTGCTGAATGGGAAAGAGTTATTACTTCCAATAACATCCTAAAATATTTCCAGTAATGCTAACTATCAGTTCTTGACTGTTTGGCTTAAGAGACAACTGGTTTCTCCATCCCCCATTTACACATACACATTACCATTGCATTCCTGACACCAACTGCAGGAAGAGCACTAGAAAACGGAATTAGAGCACATAAGATAAGCCTGGGAGTGGGAGATTTCTAGGTGCTCATTAAGCACACTGTTTGATAGAAGAGGCTATAGAAAAGGACAAATGAAGGCAGCTGAGCAGAAGAATACAACCTATCTGACGAACTAATTTGGTTAGAAAAGAAACTGAGCGTGAAAGTTACCAGATCTCAGGTAAACCCAAAAACATACTTCAACTGAACAATTTAAGAACCTAGGGCCCAAAGTTGACTGACACCTTAGTTAACAACGGTGGCAGAAAGAAGTCTAATACTGCAATCCCAAACTGTGTCAGCTCATGCCGCTTGTCTCCATCAGATCCAACTTCTCATCCTAAACTGCATGAACAGTATCCAAGAAAGAAATGTGTCTGAACACCTGGCCATTACCTACAAGCCTGATACCAAGGAAAAAGAAGAAAAGGGAACCGCATTGTAAGAAATTCTGACCCATAAAATACATGCATAATTGTCCAGCTTACCTTTACTGCTGAAGTGTCTGAAGGATTAATATACTTAACTCTTAGTATTATAGATTTGTGAGATACACAAAAAAAAATCTTACAACTAGCCCTCTAAGACAAGAACAAAAGTGCAGCCATTTACTTTATGGGTTGCACAAACAAGGTAATTTTAAAGCATCATGTGGATGTTTTTGTTTTAATCCACCTGCATCGCTAACTTTTCCTTCTCTTTATACAGGGAAACAAATGAACAATGTCTGTTTCAGGGCTTCTGTAGTCTCCTAGTACTGGCTCATGTCATACATCACTTAGATAACATCACTAAAAATAGTTTTTAAAAACAACACTCTGCCTTCATCAACATTTCTCCATGACTGAACCCTTGGAGTAATCTTCAGGAGCATTTAGCACCAGCAGCTCTGAGTAGGTGCTGAGATCCCTCAAAATCCTTGAAAAATTATGGGGCTTAAAATCCCAGTTCTTCCTCCAGCCAAAATAACAGCTTTAATCCAAGGGAGAGGAGGTAGCACACCTTCACCATGAAGAGCAGCATAAATTCTAACAAATGGGACTACCTGGTTAAACACAAACCAGTAAGCACAAAGTAAACCAGCAGAGGCATTGTAACCACCTATGTGCCTGTCCTTATCATACTATAAATGCACAGTAAACTGAGGCAGTTTGCCCCCCTTTCTCATTAAAAAGAGAAAGCCCCCTCACATTTAGTGTAAGGTTAGAGGGTTCACAGTGGGCTGTAATTGGGCAGCTACCGATACCCCAGGCTTGAAGTCCACTCTATTTCCCACCAATTTCTCTGTGTGCCCTCGCCTGGCACACAGTTCCCTGCATTGGTTAACTTTCAAGGCCATGTATATTAATTTTTGCTCTTTGGATGACAAAAACTGCATATTTAAGTCCATGGTGCTTTGGAAGTCCCATCTGCCAGATGCAGGAACAATGAAAAAGTCATTATTAAGCCTGAAAGAAAAAAGTATAAATGGGAGGTGGTAGAAACTCTGTCAGTCGATAAAACCAAAAGATATTAACTGCTGCTACTCATTCTTTAATAGTTAACAAAGTATATAAAAGGAATAATTACTAATTGAAAAATATTTATCCTATGGAAGAATCTAGCAAAAAGCTGATCTACGTACCAAGCCATCAAAACTCGGAGCCAGGTAAAAACCCAGGTATTTCTCAAGGATGACTGAATGTTAACATTCTGCCTTGAATGCTAACCGTGCAATCATTTGTATGCAAATGTAAGTGAAAGAATGATTTTACCTCACACCTACCAAATAGGAGCTCGATGGTGTCAAATGACACAGCTTGAAAGAGATGCAGAAAGGTCTCACACTTGATGGGCCTAATCTTCCTGAGAGGAGAATTACTTTTCATGGCTACTTCTCGCACTCTCGAAAAAGACACACAAGGAGAACTAAAAACCTTCTCTATGGATGTAGATTGCTGTTTTGTGCCCCGTGAGTATGCACAGTGCTGCTAAAGGGTTCAGATTTCTTCTGCGTAAGGCAGGAAGACCGAGCTCTATTTCCTCACAGTGCTGAAGTTGAACAACTTTCACGAACTGAAGGAAGTTTGTAGTTGCTGAAGATTTATGGCACTTATACCGAAGACAGTGAGGAGTGCAAAATACTTCTTGAGAACTGAAAGTGCACACATCAACCTTCGTGTCAGAGCCATGCAGCCAAGTGCGAGAAGCCTGCTCTCCTCACCTGCCTCGTGTCCCTGCCCACAAAAACGTGTGCGAGGAGGGAACGACGAGCTTTTCACATTTCACCGCTCTATGCTTCAGGAAGAACCAGCGCAATGTCTCCCCTTTAGTGGGAAACGATGCACGCCACCAATTCACCCAGCGCGATTTGCAGTGCTGAGCTGGCCTCGAAATCCTCCCCTTGTCATCCCACAAGGAAGTCAGCCTGCTACCTGGGAAACGCCAGCCAACAGATCCCAGCCCCGTGCTCCCACCGGCTGCTCTCAGCTCCCACCCCTGCAGCAGGGACCTGCGGCCAGGAGCCTGGGGCTGCCCTCCCAGCAGCGACCCCCAGCCCGGCAGAGCCCCCGGCCGCCCTCCCCAGCACCCGGCCTTCCCCTGCCCCACTCCCCACCTCCTGCTGCCGTGGATGCAGCCCAGGGGCTGCCACAGCCGCCTCCTTTTTTTTCCCTTTCGGCTTCCCCCGCCTGGCAAACCCTTTTTTTCTGCCCACCTGGGCGAGGAGCGAGGGGGGGGCGCCCCGCTGCCCACCCTGGGGGTGCCGCACCCCAGCTCCCCTCAACCAAGGAGCTGTGTGGGGAGCCCCCCCCTCCCTGCTCCTCCCTTCCCCCTCCTCGCCGGGGGGGCCGAGGCGCATCCAGCCCCGTCCTCGCCCTCCCCGCGGCGGGCAGCGCCCCCTGCCCTTCCCCTCACCTGGCAGCGCCCAGGCCCCGGGGCCAGGCCCCGTTCTCCCCCTCCAAACTTTGCGGGCGCCGCATCCCTGCCCCTCACCCCCGGCAGCGGCCCGGCCCCCCCCTTTCTCCCTCCCCTCCTCCCTCCCGGCGGCGGCCCCGGGCCGGGCCGGGCCGTGCCGGCCGAGGGGCGGAAGCAGGGGCAGAGCCGTGCGGGGAGCAGGCCGCGCCGAGCCTCCCGGCAGCAGCAGCAAGCAGCAGGAGGAGGAGGAGGAGGAGGAAGGAGGGGCCGGGGCCGCCGCCGGGGCCGGGGCCGGGGCCGGTGCGCCCGGAGCGCGGCCTGCTCGGCGGGGCGCAGCCCGGCCCCTCTCGCACGTACTCACCGCCGGGTTCGCCATTACGCCAAGGCGGCGGCGGCGGCGCCCGGAGCCTCCCCCGCTGCCCGGCACGCACGGGCGGCCGCGGGGGGAGGGAGCGGAGCGGAGCGGGGCGGCGGGGGATGCCCCGCGCCTGACAGCTCCCCACCGGGCCGGCCGCGGGCACGCGCAGCCCGGCGGCGGCTCCCCGGCGGCCCCACGCCCCCCTCCCCGGGCTCCCCGCGGGCGCTTACCGGGGCCGCGCCGGCTGCCGGGGCCGCGCCGGGGCCGTGCCGGGGCCGTGCCGAAGTTTCAGCCGCTCGCCGCCGCCGCGACCCCACCGGCCCCAGCGAGCCCGCGGGGCCGGGCCGGGGGGCTCATTTGCATATTTCTCAGCCCCGCGCTGATTGGCCGCGGCGCGCGGGGGCCGCCGCGCGCTGACACGGCGGGAGGGGAGGGGAGGGAGAGGAGGGGGGGGGGGAGCGGGAGCGGCGGCGGCGGCGGCGGCGCGGGGCTGAGGGGACCCGCGGGTGGGAGGAAAAGGGGGCGGGGCCAGCGCGCGGGGCGGGGCGGGGGGGGCGGAGGGGGCGGGCTTCCTGCCCCCGGCCCTGGCTGAGGGGAGGCGGTGGCAAGTGGAGGGGGGGGGAAGGAGGGGATAAAATGGAGCGCGGGCGGCGGGGCCGGGCCAGCCAACATGGCCCCCTCGGCGCGCTGCGGCCAATCCCCGCCGCCTGCACTCGGCAGGCCCCGGCGGGGGGGGAGTGGGGATGGGGAGTCCCGGGGCGCCTCCCGGCTGAGCCCTCAGAGGAGGGGGTCGGGGCTGTGAGGGGCGGTTGCTGCCCGCACTGTGAGGGCGGCCGGGGGGGGGGGGGGTGCGGGTCGGTGGCCTCGGTCGTGGTCCTGGCGTGGCAGCCGCGGCCCTGCGGGGGTGGGTGGGGGAAGGCAGCGCCGCCACGGCCTCGGGCACGCCGCGCAAGGCCGGGGTTTCTCCACAGGGGTTCCTTGGGCTTGCCAGCGCGGCGCCTGGGGCTCCCCTGCCACGCTGACTGGCGTCTGGGGCAGGCAGGCAAAACCGAGTACTTCACACGTCGAGTATTGATTTGGAGATCCAAATCGAGGAGTAGCAGCTCACAAAACGCTTAGAGATCATATCTACTGAGGTGACTTAACAGGTCCTGGGCAGGAGTCCTTAGGGGATCACCTCCAGCCAGGAGGGGCTGCAAGGGGCACCCGGCTCTGGGGCTTCTGCTGCCTCACCGGGTGCAGCAGGGGGAGAAAAAGCTCCACAGGTGAGCGGTTATGCAGCTCTTCAGAGGAGGCCTCAGCAAGAAGATTTGGTTCCCCCGCGGACTGAAGATGCAAAGCAGTGCGGGGGGATTCCCAGAGTCGCCCTCCCCTCAGCGTGGTGCCCAGGAGGACTGCATGGGCTGTGCGGGGAGGGGCAGCAGGGATCTGCCCCTTCGGCATCCTCTGCAGCCTGCTGAAGAGAACTAGGGACGCGCTTCTAGTTCTCTGCGACCTGTTGCTTCTGTCTTCTAAAAAGAGTTTGTATTATTATAGCCAATATCAGATTTCTTACGTAGTTCAGATAACTACATGTCGTAATACATGAATTTTAGGATCTCTAAATAGCTCAAATAAGCTTATGTTGATAGAAACATAAGATAGGTTCTTATTCTCCATTACTTCAAAATGCAAACCTTTAAGCAATTGAAGTTTCAGCTTTCTAATATTTTATTTCCCTTCTTCTGCTTCCTTCATTGCTAAAGCTTTATTTTTTTTTTCTCTGACTGCTTTTAACAGTTATGCTGAAGTTCTCTTAGAAGTTCTTTTCTTTTAGCCAGCCCTATAGGTTTTGCTTCTGTATGTTTTCTCTGATGAACAATGGAAGATAACTTCAAAAAATAAACGTGCCTGTTGTTTGGTGGTGGTTTTTTTTTTTTCGTCCTCATGGTTTTGAGAAGAAAGCACATATGTCTCTACTTTTCTGTTCTCTCTGAAAAAGTATTTCTTCAAAAGAAAGGCAACCTTTATCCTCTTAGTACAATTAGCCAGCCAATCATAGTGCATCCTTAATAAAGCTATCAATGCAATTATAACGGTGTGAAGGGCTTTCAGATGTAGAGAGTTTGAATGGTAATGTCATAAGTTGAAAACACAGGCTTAGAATGATAAATCACATGAATGACTGAAAACAGGATCATGGGACTGGTTATTCTGTTGCTGAAAAAGAAAATTGAATCTCATGAATCTCTTAGCATTTAGACAAAAGGAAAAAAAAAAAACAGATTGTTTAAATGTGCGGAGTTAAATGTAGATTTTTGTTTGGGGTTTCATTTTCTTAAACATATCATCAGTTCTGGGGATCACTGTCACAGAAGTTCTGCAGAGTGCTAAATGTTTTCTTTCAATTTTGCTAAACTTCTGTCACTTTATATCACCATCCAAAAGGCTACCAGTATTTAAAGCAATTATAATTTTAGCTGGTTTCATACATTTTGTGAGATACTTGTTTTCTCACCACCACTGTTCCCTCATAAGCTAGCTTGCAATGCTTTGATCTATCAATACATACAGATGACTCTTCTAAAATATTGGGTTTGATAAAGTAGGAAGAATACGGTGTGTCTCCCCTCCTTTATTTATAGATGTCCTACCTACAGCAGTTAGAGCACACGCATGTTTGTGTTCTGGATTCCCACGGAACTCCAGCAGCTCGTTCTGCCTTGGGACCTACCACTCGCATGCATCATAGGCTGTAGGAGGAGAAGTCCCACACTTTACTGGCTCATCTTTTATCCTGTCTGGGTGCAGGATAAAATTTTCCAAGAAAAAAAAAAAAAGAGGAAATTGATTGCTGCACTTGCCTGGTTTCCTGTCCTTTGATTATCCATGGAAGCTGCTGTAGGGGTATTGAGGTCAGGACTGGAATGAGGTCTGCAGGCACTGCATCAGCTGCTGAGATCCCATTGTTGCCACAGTGACTGCTTTGATCCTTCTCTGTAGCCACTCTGTGGGACTTGGGAAAGCAAACAGCGGCTGCCTGCACAGATTGCAGCTATTAGAGCAACTCTTCATATGTCTCTGTCGACACTCTCTAGAAGCCTGGTAGGAATCTGTGATGCAGGTGAGGACTTGCAGTGCCACTGCAGACTGGGCCTTGGTTGATGTCTCGTGGCTACCCGGTGCGCTGCCTTTACAACACGCTGCACGAACGTGGAGGAGAACACTTTCACATTACTTTTGGAGCCCTTAACAAATCTGCAGGGTGAGGGTAAGCTCGTGTTATTTTACCTCTGAACTTATTTACAGTCATAGGTTCCCATACAGTTCAAGCTGGGGAGGTCTACTTTGTTTTGTTGTGTTGTCGGCTGGCAGTTTGTAAACACGTTTGATCTGAAATATACACGGGAGCTCCTGCACGGAGGAGCTGTGCTCCACACCTGCAGATGTGAAACACTGCAGATGCAAAGTGAGCGCGTAGAGGCAGATGGTTTCTCTCATGGCCTTGCAGAGGCAGATGTAAACCAGACTATGGTTATAAATCTTTTTAGGTTAGCACTAAGTTTAATTCTTTTGACTGTGTGTGGGGGGACAATTGCATCCAAGGGTCTGGATCAAAAAGAGATGGAATATTGTCATAAATAACCGCAAATAAAAATCTGATTGCTATTTATACTTGCAGGCAACCTATTTTGTAACATGGAAACCTCTCGGCACCCAAACTGTTTGATTCTGACTGATATGTCCTAGAAGTTTGCCTGGCAGTTGGAAACTACGGATGTGAATTAAGTAACCCTGCAGTTGGGATATCAGAATGCTGCTTCCACTGCTGTTTCTCCAACACCTACATCTGTAGTTTGGTTCTCCGCTTGCCACAATGACAGTCACGAGTACACTGCTAGCTGATAAAAGCATAATTGTAGTACTAAAATGAAGTCTGCCATGAAATAGGCAGTATGAGAGGAGAACGTTTGAGAATCTGAACTTACTGAAAAAGTATTTTTGTCTAAGTCCTGTTTTCAGTAAGAAACTAAAAAAGCCCTTTTTTCTTTTAGGGATTTGTTGGTAGTAACCAGTTTTGTGGACTTTTTTTTTTAACTGTTTGCTGTGCTCCTTTTTGAGAGAATCACTCATCTCTTGGTAGACTGAGGATACTTTGTGAGTCTGGGTGCTGAGATGAGATTTTTGAGTCAGGGTTTAAAGCATAGTCTGCAAAGATCATGTCTAAACAGGAACTGTGGTAAAGAACCACTGCTAAGCATTTGTGTTAGGAAGAAGGTAGCTGATTCAAGAACAGAACTGGAGGTTTTGATGATCAGGTGGAGCACAGGACTGAGGTCACCTGTCTCTCATTGCACTACATAAGATAGCACTGAAGCCTTACTGCTTTTTTTCGATAGAGGAGTCAAATGGGGAGGAGTTTTCAAGAGAAAGAAAGTAAAGGTAATCACTTTAGAAATAGCAAGTAAGGAGATGTTATTGAAGTAGAAACGTGTTAGAGATTCATAAGTCCAGAAGTATCTTGGAAGTGGCTACGATGATCTGAAAATAGCCGTGAGTATTTAAAATCATGTTAGTAGACCAGTTGTTGAGAACATGTAGTAAAAAAAAAAAAAATATTATTGTTGTATTTTTCTTGTTTTCATGCTCGATTTTCTGTTTCTTTACATTACCAAAAATTGAATGGATATGGTATTACCTGATATTTGACTGCAGGGTTTAAAGTAAGTGTATTTTTTTCTTTGAAGTCTTATGCTCTTGAAGATTTTTTATTTTCCGGAGGTTATTTCCCAGCTATGAGATGATAGTCGGCCTCCTACTAAAATAAGTATTATGTTTGTTTGTTTTTGCTTCTGTTCTCTTTTGCCACTTGCCCTGGTAATAGAAATCTTACTTTGATAGTAAAAAAAAAAAAGCACAGTTGTTTTCAGGTGTTATAAGACAAGAAAATCTACTGAAATCTATTGGGAAAACTACTTCAAAGATTATAGCCACAGGGTTTTCTTTTTAGAGATGGGCAGGGGTTTAGTGGTAGCTTCTACTCCCTGGTGAGGGTTTTTGGTTCTCTTACTCATGTGAAAACAGTGAGCTCATACTATAGGAAAATCAGATACATCTTAAGGACTTGCGGCTTCTGATGAAAGATTGTGAAGGAGTGGGAAGACAGGTCAGTGCCAGTGTAGGGCTTTATCTCATTTTGAGTACTGAATAGGGAAACACTTCAGAGTACTTAAAAAGGAGGCTTAGACAACTCTTCGGGTAGCTTGAGTGTACAAAACAGAGTAAGTTACTACCTTGTCAGCTGCTGTATTCGTGGACTGCTATAGGGAAGCAACTCTCTTGAAGGAGTAACAAAACTACCATCTGGAAGTTACCCCATAAACAGAGTTACTGCTTTACGGTGACTACACACTACTGCTGATAGGCTTGTGGCACTTCCCCGTGTAGCTCCACTAACCATACTAGGGTTCTAGCTTCGGGACTGCTGTTGTGGTCTAAAACTAGTTGTAAAACCAATTGTTAGTATTGTGCCCCCCTGAAAACTTGCCATGAAACATACTAACTCTGGTGCTGGTGCGATCCGTGTACTGGCTTTTCTTAGGCACCTCTGAATGTTGAGTCCCATATATACTTTGTAAAAGAAATTCATGTTAGTGTCATCAGTTGTGAGTGGCATATGAAGTAAACTCCTAAAACATTAAGTTTTAGTGCAGTCTTCTGGCGTAAAATGCTATTTATTCTTCTTTCTATGTGAAGTGTACTATAACAAATAGTGAGCTGCTAATAATAACTCTGTAACTCTTTATTTCCTTTTCTTTTTTTTTTTTTCTGTAATACCAAGCCAGTGAAATACACTCTGGAAACTGAATTGTGTATGGAAAGCTCTACCGCCACAGGCAGGTGTTGGAAGAACTTGGATTTGGTACCTCAGTTTTGTGTGAGGTGTTCATCTGTCTGATGGGACTGGGAACTGCAGAGCCTGACTGGGCTGCGTGAGCTGGTGCTCAAACCAGCCGCATGGCTTAACTTTGTGCGTGTAGAAAGCTTCTGCTGCCCTCTTGTGATGGTTCTGGAGGTAACTGTGAAGCTGTTAGAAGCCCATTTTCTTTTAAAGCTGTGTTTTATCTGGTAATGAAGTTAAAGATGTCCTTTTACTGGTAAGCAAGAGCTTCTAATCTTATAGGCTATAAAGCATTCTTTTTAAGGTAAAATTACCAGTGGATGTCATTTATTAGCCTTTAGTGAGGCTTTTCATACGATCTCCTGCAATACTCATATGCCCAAGGATTTTATGCTCTACATGGACAAAAAACTATTTTTTTGTCTTTTTTTTTTTTTTGGACTTTAAGAAAATAAAAACTGTCCGGATGATTAGGTGTGGAGTACTTAGTACTCAGCGCAAATGCTGGTAATGAATAAAATACTCCAGGGATCCATGGTGGAACTAGTTGTGTTTAACACCTGTGTTGGAAGATGCTGAAGTGAGAAGGACAGGCTGCTTTGCTCAAAGACAGGGCTGCCACTGAGAGATCTGGACAGTCTGGGGAACTGGCAGGAGCTTCCTTTCTCGAAGCTTGCTTTCTAACCTCAGATCCCTAGAACGTATTCAGAAACCTCCTGTGCAATCTTCAACATATTCAGGCATCCGTTTTATAAATCCAGATGATGTAACATGCCAAGCCAATTGTTCTGCTGCCTGACAACAGGAATGTGGCTTATCATAGGTTTTTTCGGTAAAACTGACGATGAAGCGGTGATTCAGTCTCTTGTCAGTGTTGACTTTGGGTAAGTCATCCTCAAACTTGCTCTGAGGTAATACTGAAGTAACCACGAAACTGAAAGTGAGAATGTGTTCTCTGTAGTTCTGTATTTGTAACCTTGGGGTGAAACTCACCTGGTCTTAGACAACTTTTAACTTTGGACTTTTTTTTGGTGTATGCATTGTATTTTTGAAGTGAACTTGGCCTGGTATATGTTAGACACAAGACTTGGTCTTCAAGTTACCTGTAAAATAAATTTGGTACTGTGTGAACTTCATTGTTTCCATTTAGCTTGTCACAAGACAAATCATCATCCTGTGAGCTGTTGAGGTATCATGGAGTAGCTGCTAATGTCTGTGAGTTGTGCAGTTGAGCACCCGAAACATACACCCTGCAGAAATCATCCTGTCTAGACCAGAGACCGCGTTGGTTCATGTAGTGCAAAGCAGCAGTGGCTCTGCTGAGCCTGCCTTGCAATTTTAAGTATGGAACAAGTAAGGGAGGGTGCAGCTTGCAAACAGAAAGTTTTACATCTCTTCACTTGAGGACAAATTCAGGGTAGGCTGTGTGGGATTCAGCAGTCATTTGGTCCCAGGGATTTCGTCAATCCCTAGTGATCCCAGCGTGCTGTAAGAGCAGTGCAAGCAGGCAGCAGCAGCTCTCCCCATCTGCAGTGCTGAAACCCTCAACTGGGGAGCTGAAGGTAGAACAGAGATGTGGCTGTCTGCCAGAGGTTTTAGGAAGTCGCTGAAGAGTGCTTTCGTTTCACTGGGGTTTTGCAGCAATTTGGACCCGTGCACCTAAATTCAGTTAAAATGATTCTTTGGATCTGTGCCTGAACAAACGAAACTCCTTTGGACCTTGACTCTCTGGGCTGAAATCAAATATTTAATATCAGCTTAGAAGTGATTAGTTGATGTGGTAAGATGAACTTTTAAGAACTTTTGAATGTTTTGGCTTGTGTTTCTCATGCTAAGCTTAATTTCTGTGAAACTACTAGTCATGAAGTGCAAGAATATGGCAAAATTAAGCTTAAAGGTCTTTTAAAACATTACCTCAGGAAACTGTAGGGAAACATTGTGAAGGTTAAACATAGCAGTGATTGTCTTCATTAAATTGTTGACTATTACTGTGCATAGTAAACCAGCTCTGTGCACAAGAAACAAAATTTGCATTTTCTAACAAAATACATATTGGCAAAGACTGCTGCATTTCAGAAAGTTAATTCTAATGTGTGGATCCTAGGTGACAGCAGTTGTGAGGTACTGTTTCTGAGCTTTCTGTCACTGGTCTAGTTTGTGACTGATGCCACAAAACTAAAGTGAATATCCAGATATTTGTACTTGTATTTCCTAAAGATGCATAATAAAAATTGGATTTTGTGATGACAGAGCACTGACCTTTGGGAACTTCTAACTGTCTGTTCTATCTGAGTAGCCTTCCTTTATCTGCACAGACTTTAATTGCCATCTCCTGATGCTTTCCTCACAGCCATCTAGGAATTAGGATTGCATTTGGCTGTACTGGCTTGTTGGTTCAACTGCTTTATTGCTTTTTCACTCCTTACTACAACATCCTTGCTCCCTTTTTGTTTTAAACTTCCAACAACAGTTGCTGTAACCTCCAGCACCTCATCACTTGTTACCTAATGCTTAAATTGTAGGGAAAGCTTCTTGCATATGTGTGTGTACATGCTAGGTTTTTTTTTTTTTTTTTTTTTTTTTTTTTTTTTTTTAATGGTATTTAATAAAACAAGATTGTGGCCAGTAATAACAGCTTGAAGCAATTGGTATTGATTTTTCATATTTCAAAGTTTTGAAGGGATAAATGAATGAATCTATTCCCCTGTTTCTTAAGTTCAATTGATTTTAAATATTATTTAACTTTTTATACAAATATCTTCATTGGTTTCAGGTATGCTATTCAGGAAGCAGGAGAACTCTGTGTGTGTCCATATGTAGGTAACCAGTTAAAAAGTATAATGCTTCTACTTTGGCTCAGTTTGTAGCATTAATGCTGCACCCCCCTCACCCTATCACTGCTGAAAGTACTTCTGCAAAAATGAGATTTGACTGCTCACAAGAGGGCACTGCAACTTTACTTTTGTGCACGTTCTTGTGAGATGTAAGCATTGCTCTGAGGTCTAGCAACAGAAGGCAAATAATATTGTTACTGTCTAGCCTCATTCATTTTAAAACCTAGTTCTTAGCACTAAAAATTGCAAACTCTTTTTAAACACAACATGAAATTGAAGTTAGTGGAAGTAATGGAGAAAGGTGAATGTAGAAGTTTGAAAAGGAGTGTCTGTGTTAGCTTTTGGGTCCAAGAATTGTAGCTGCTGATGACTGGAGTAGGGAGAGCCACATAATAATCTATGAGCTCATTTAAAGAAGAAGAGGGACTGTAATGAACTAATTTATTTACTTATCAAAGCCTTAATTGTTCTTTGACAGCTCAGTAGACAAATCATCATAAGAGGAGTGTTCACTTAGTAGAGATTAATTATAGCCTCCAGCATATCAAGTTTATTATGTCCAATAAGTATGGCAAACAGCAGTAAGAACATGTTTGTCGTTACACTTGATAGCATTCTTTTGCCTCAAGGCCTGACTCCTGTAAGAATGATTAGATGTGGGTGAATTGCTCCTAATTCTGCAAACTGCTTTTTTATTTATATTTTGTGTGTGTGTGTGTGTGTTTGGGGGGGGGTTCATTTAATCCTGTCCTTTAAAGCAAAATGAAAGTATAGGGTCTAATACTGAAGTTATCAATACATAACTGTTTGAACTCTAA